CTTTTCGTTATTTTCATCATCGTCATCATCTTCGTCATCCTCGTGGTCATCCTCGTGGTCATCCGTCGGTTCGTCTGTGAAATAACTTTCGATTTCACCCTCAACATCCTTGCTCCACTCCTCAATGCCTTCCTGTTGGTGGTGAGGGTGCTTAGGAATCACTCCGGCTCAAGCTGGAATGACTGCCACCAGGCAGACTAGAGCGACGAGAATACACACGAAACACGGCCTCATCCTGAAATGTTGAATCGTGAGGCTCACGCCATCGGCTTTTATAGGCCTGTGTGCCTCTAATTGCATTAAGTAAATTAAACGGGGTATTGTTTTCCCCCCACCAAGGTCAATGTAAAACACAGGGTCTCGTGATTGCTAGGTAACTAATGTTTTCATGGCTTAAGGATGAAGACTCAGGATTACAGCCTAGAAAGAATATCAAATCAATTGTAATTTATCAGTTTGCAGACGAAAGCTCTCTCTCATAAATGTTCAAATGAGAGCATGTTTACCTGCTGCGATAAAATTGTTTCCAAAATGGATGCATTTGCATTTGCAGTAAATCAAGAGCTCATACTCCCACGTGCACCTATACTCAACTGAGATTTCAGTCCGTGACGACGTAAAGCAGGCCAAATTATCTGTTTGTCAATGCCTGACTGTAAATCTAATTTATTGCAAGTACAGTAGCTAGAACGACACTTATTTCCCATCAAGGGTTGAGAGAGCTGAGGGACAGAAAGGCGACTGTTTGTCCAAGAGCTTGACAAAGTCCTTGTCGGAATCATCGGCGATGTGTGTTTGTCGTCGTCTCCACCGTCGTGTCGTGTGTGGCCTTCTCACATGTGTATTCATAAGTAGAAGATTCGAAAGACTCTTGAAATCATGTTAGGCTCCGTGTAACATTTTGGTGGTTGTTAAAACTGATCCAATTTGCTGTTGATCAATAAACAACTGGGAACCACATTTATAGCGAGTACGGGTGCTGAAAAGCTATGTTTCAATGCGCTACATGACGAAGTACGCAAAAACAATTAAGAAAAGCTTTTTCGGGGAGCCCAACCAAGTTGATGTTATTTTGTGTCTGTCGCTTCGTTTTCCCAACATGTAGGGCTCCGCTAAAATTTGCGAAATTCCCACAAGTTTATCTGTTTTCAAAATAATTTTACAAGAGATCACTGGTACTTGATAAATCTAAATGTTTTTAACTAAAATGTACACAGTCATTATTTTGGCTTGGAATGGCAACTGCTCTTGCTAAGGCGTGTAAAAAGGTTGTTACCTCGCACAATCCAATCGACAACTTTCTCAATCGACCTGCTATGAACCCTTCAACATTCATCGCCGAGGATAC